CCAGCGTACCGAAGCAGCCCGGGCCTCCTGTCATGACCTCTGACCCCAACATGCTCAGTAATGAAGAAGCTACAGCTCATGTGAGTATAAAGGGGACAGTTGATGTTTAAATTATCACCACAGCAATGTTCAGGATCTGCATTATTAATGAGGATATTCTGTTTCCTTGTAGTTTGAGCAGATCCTGGGTCTGGCCCAGCGGTCTCAGGACGAGCTGTTTCACATCGCTCTGTACAACTGGCTGATTCAGGCCGACCTGACTGACAAGCTGCTAGAGGTAGGAATTCAATCTTGGTATTAATTCATTTCCTGTTTGTGTTTTCTATGTCCAGGCTTTTTCCCCCCTGCCTATTTTAATGACAAATCCCCAGACCTTTTAGAAATGAGCAAATTATTCAGAGTTTATGACCCAAAAATCAACAACTTTTGTGTTTTCTAATGAATTGAGACACTTTCCTGTTGTTGTTGTTGTTGTTGCTTGCCATGTATCTTACAGCTGTCTTCTGTTGTCCAGGTGAATTCTCCGTACCTGGAGGAACATCTGATGCATATGATCAAGCAGGACCAGAGTAAGGTGCACAACATGGACCTGTTGTGGCGCTACTACGAGAAGAACCGTAACTTTGGCAAAGCGGCTCACGTACTCGCTCGTCTCGCTGACATGCACAGGTTTGTACTCCCAACAACTGGATAATACTTTTAATTCTGTTAGATTCAAATGAAATATCTCCAGAAATAAAATAAAAATGACACTGACATGAGACTCAAAAGATTCTTGATCCTTCTCTGATTCTGCAGCACTGAGATCTCACTGAAGCAGCGTTTGGAGTACATCGCCCGAGCCATCCTGTCTGCTAAGAGTTCCTCCTGCATCTCGGCTCAGGCGTCTGACGGAGAGTTCCTCCACGAGCTGGAAGAAAAGATGGAGGTACGTGTGTGGCAGTGATCACGCTGAGAGAAAACTAGGCGTTGTCACAGGCGCTAACTTTCTATGTTTTCTTCCCAGCTGGTGCGTATTCAAGTCCAGATCCAGGACACCCTGATCAGACAGTACTCCCATCATCCCTCAGTGAAAAATGTCATCTCTCAGTTAGACTCTGAGCTCATGGACATCACCAAGGTAACACACACTGCAGCAGAATAATGATGATGATGAGGAGCTGGGGGATTAGGAGGATAAAGTGAAGGGAATCTTTTATAAATGCTGGGTTATTGTTCTCCGACGTAGCTCTACGGGGAGTTTGCTGACCATTTCAAATTGTCCGAGTGCAAACTGGCCATCATTCACTGTGCGGGACACTCCGACCCAATCCTGGTGCACTCGCTGTGGCAGGAGATCATGGAGAAAGGCAAGTGACAAGTCAACAGCTTCTTAAAATAGTAACCTTTCTTTCATTCATTTTATTTATTCATTCAGATGTTTAAATAGAAATTCAAGTACAATTTACAATACATATAGAATTGAGAAAGTTCATGTGAACATTACAACCCAAAAACATACCCCACACTAACCTAAAAACTAAACTACTCTAACCACAACTTCTTAATGGTCTTAAATATTTATTTCGTCAGTCTAAACATTTGTTTCAAAAAAGTATGATGGTGCACCTGAATGCATTTCAGAGGAAAGTAAATGTGTAGAAGACCAAAGCCATTCAGCGTGTTAAATCTGCAATTGTTGTTTGCAAATCCTTTTTAAATGCCTTTATTAGCTGCATGTGTGAATGGTTATTGTTTTGTCTCTTCCAGAAATGGCAGACAGCGTGGCCATGAGTCCAGCAGACAGGATGAGGACTCTCAGTTTGAAACTGGTCTCACTGGGAAGGATTTACGCCGGAACACCAAGATATTTCCCTCTGGGTGAGCATATACCTTCCTGTAATTATGTTCAATTTTCCCCTCGTTAGAACTTTCCGCCTCGCTGTTTACTACTTTGTTAACAGTAATATAATTAGACTTCCCTTTTGCATCATACATGTCTCACGGGCACAGGCCTGCAGGGTCACGGTGATTGCCCTCTCGTAACTGACAACCTGTACCAACCTGTCCTCTCTGCGGAGACAATGATTCATTTTATATACATCCTTGGTACCTACTCACAGGCACTCAATCAATTATGTGAATCCCAACTCCTTTCCCCCACACTGATGAACACTGTGCCGACATAGCAATGCTAATACGTGTCGATGTCCTGTGGTTTCAGAGTTCCTAGTGAAGTTTCTAGAGCAGGAAGTGTGTCGGCTGAACTGGGATGTGGGCTTCGTCACTTGCACCATGCAGGAGATCGGAGTTCAGTTACCGCGCCTCCTCGAGGTCTATGACCAACTCTTCAAAACCCGGGTACATGCTTCAAAAAAGATTGTTTAAATCCATCCTTTTTTATAGTTTCACTGAAATGTATGCACATGATTATAAGCAGCAGTTGTTGTTCTTGTGGACTGAAGACTAAATTGTAATTTATTGAATCCACCAATCTGCGTTGGGGCCTGTAGGATCCCTGTTGGCAGCGGCTGAAGAAACCTCTCCACCTGGTGGAGTGTATCCACGTTCTTCTGTCAGGATACGTGGATGATCCCAGCAGAGTACCAACCTATGACAGGTGATCACTGCTGTTCAGCTGCCGGCCTGCAGTGGGTGCTGTAGTGTTTGACTTTGTGTTGATCATACTGAGGCATTTTTTGCTATTTTCTAGGCATCGTGTCTGTCAATCACTTTTGTGCTACCGCCAGCAGATACATTCAGTCAGTCAAACACACAGTAGATAGAAAAACTCTTGAGACAATACTCAAAGGCCTGAATGTACATAGCAGTGTTTCCCCTAGGTTTACTGCCTTGGCAGGGTGCTGCTAGAAATGTTTGTATCCTCTGGAGCAGAGAAAGGAGCTGTGGATTATTGTTATTGATATCGTACAGTCGAACAAAGTATTTGTACATTAAAAAGTAATACAGTACAGTGTTACACTGTACTGTATTACTTTTATTCAAACTGTATTTCCTTCTTATCATGTAGCCTACACTTCTTCCTTTCATTGATACATTTAAATCACCTGACTACAGCGTATAACATACCTGCTGCAACCCTGTGCTGCTGCTGCTTCTCTCTGCCTCATGCTCTATTGCTGGAGGCAGCAATGTGTTCCTAAAGCTATTTCAATGTAAAGGGTGGATAGTGATTTAAATGCAAATGTCCCTACATTGCATCTCAGCTAGTAATCACTGTCTGTTGAAATAAAAATAAGAAATACAGAAACTTATAGTAGCATCAGTAAGGCAACTAGTGTGTTTTTAAACTGAGAACTTGCAATGAGCCTACAGTAAACCCGGTTTAACAGCTTGTATACCCTCCATTTCAGACGCCGGTTCACAAACGTGTGTCTGGACAACATCTGTGGATACCTGGTGGAGCTGCAGTCTCTGAGCCCCAACTCGGCTCTTCAACAAACCATCGGGAACTTCAAGTCCCTGCAGGCGAAGCTGGAGAAACTCCACTGACGCTAGCCATGCCATTCTTCACGGGACAGGTGACCTCTGGATCTCGCACTGTTGGCCTTAATTAAACAGCTGATCGAGTTTGCTCATTTTTCCCTTCGGTTTGATACGTTCCAGCTTAGCGAGTGCTTTATAACGGACTTTGGTAGCCGATAACTCTTAAGTCTTCTAACAAAGACGAGGGAGACCGAAGAAGTTTTATAACTTATTTAATACATTTTGTTCTAAGTCTAAACATTATGCTGAAATACAACTTGGTTATCTGCATTGTGTTCACATAGCTAGGTCTAAAATATGGATTTCTAAATTGAAAAGATATTTGGGTTTTCATGTATTGAAAAAGCAGTTATTGATAATGAATTTTTGATATTTTCGTATGACTACCCTCTGTAAAGATACCTGACCTGAAGTCTTTTGATCACAGGGGAGTCATTCAGATTTTTCTACGTTACCTCCAAACAAAGTGATGGATGTTGTAATTATGTACATAACTTGGCCACAATGTCGTCTCTTCTGCCAAAGGTCATTCAAACAACTCAAAACATTTTTTTCCATGTGTATCATTTACATTTTGTCTTTTTGGCTGATTTAAGTGATTGTTTTGAATGTAGAGCAAGTTTTTATCTCGGTGCAGATCACAGTGCTACACCGAAATCTTTGAAAAAAAAAACATAAAACATTTTTATAAAGAAATGAAACTTGTCATGGTTTTTGTGTATGTGGATGTTTTGAAAACACTAGGAAAACTAAACATTACGAACAATTGGCAGCAGAAAGGAGGATTTAATTGCTTTGGGTTGATTATGTGACTCTGCAAAGGGAGTGCAATATTAGACTTAATGGTGTCACTGTTTGTGTTCACACAATTATCTTTAATTGCAATGGGCACTCAGGACTTCTTACTGTCATCACCAACAGTGCAGTGTTTTCCTTCTTTCTCCAATTAGCTTTACACTCAAGTGCACAATTTGTAGCCTCATGAAAAAACAAAATCATTTTTACCTGATGGTGGGTTGATATATCTTAATAACAGTCAGTACACAAATAGAAGAGCCAAAATATTGCGTACATCAGCCAGATTGGAAAGAAATGTAATCCGTGAGGAACTTTACATTTGTATAATGTCTTCATGCATCTCTGGGCACTACAGGTAGAATACATGAATGATATGTTCTCTTTTAAACTGCAGTGAGCAGCAATATTATATTTTCCAACCTTCACTACCAACATTTTGCATTGTGATGTCTTTATGTCTGAACAACAGTCCAACCCCCTGAATATCCACTCTGAAGAACCGAACCTAGGGAATGTTTGGTATTTGATTTAGGAAATGATTTAGTTGCTATCATTTTTCTCAAAGAAAATACTATACTGCTAAGCATTTCAGATCTAAAGTAGTACTGAAGGAAAAAAAGGAGATTAGCTACCAATTGACTAGAACATTTGCACTTTACCCTGTTTATCCCCATCTATTTTGTTTCCTCAACAGCTAAAGGATGTTTGAAATGATCAAATCTGATCATTTCTTCTGTCTGCGTTGTACACATTTCTACCTTTTGCATGAGCAAGACAATTTTTTCACTCCGTACAGGAATATGTAGGGGATGATGCAGGTGTAGGAGGCTGCTATATAGCTTGCCACCTCCTTCACCATGGACGATGTGTGGATGTTGTTGGTGATGCGGAGCAGCAGATGAGTCACCCAGCAGACCACGAACACGCTGGCTACAGCCACCACGCTCTTGGCTGCCCTCACCTGAGCGCTTGGAGAGTTACTGGGCTTAGCTGCCATCTTGCTGGAGACCTTTGGTGGATGTCCATCACTGCTGTCTGTGTTTGTTTCCTTTTTGGGGCTGCTGTGACCCGTCAGGTCTCCATTTGGACCAGAAGGAGGCACGCCTGTGTAAACGTGTGTTGGAGAGTCTTTGGGATCTTTTGTGTTGCCTCCATCAGAAATAGTGCTGACTGATCTGTCATCGTTACTCTTTTCAACACTTTTATGTTTATCCTCAGCTATCGCCTTCGTAGCTTCAGAGTCATTCCCCTGTACGCGGAGCTGGTTTTGAAACAAAGTGATGACAATCTGTACACAGGTACACACAATACCAGCAATAGGGAGAGCATTAGCCAGGGTGAGATAGAAGATTTCGTAGATTTGTGCGGCTGTTGCTTCAGGAAACATATCCTCGCAGTCTAAGTGGCTGTCATTGCCTCTCACCAATCCGACGTACATATAGTGTGGCACGTTGAAGGCCACAGCCACCGTCCAGCTCCCGGCCGTCAGACAGCCCACCAAGAAGAGGTTGTCCAGCTTCACAGGGGCCCCTCCACGTTTCAGGGAGCCCACCAGCTTCTGGTGCCAGAAAACGCTGATGAAGAAGGTCGTCAAGATGCTGCTGGTTTCTGAGAGGTTTGCACAAAAACTAAACACTCTGCAGAATGTTTCCCCAAAGATCCAACGTCCAGCGAAATCTGCTATGGTGTCAGGGAGGTCCACCAGGTAGTTGGTGATGAGGTTGGAAACGGCCAGGTTGATGAAAAGGAGCTCGTTGGTGCGGATGCCAGATTTCTTCCCAGGCAGGGAGCGTATAGCCAGCATGTTGTTTCCCAGAATCCCTGCCAAACACATGAGTGATCTGATGAGGGATTCAATCAGCTGTTCAGCATCCATGGCTCACTGGATCAGGTGACACTTGAACTTCACTATACAGTCGACTGGTCTCACAGTTCTCTAAGCTTGTGATGTGTTATGGTATTTATAGAGGTAGGTAAGAAGCCAGGCCCAATCACTGTAGAGTTCAAACATCTCACTATTGGTTTCCCTCACTGAGCTGTCATCATGTAGTCCCACTGAGGCCATGACACACCCTCCCAACGAGTTTACCCCTAGTGTATTATCTGAACCACAATCAATAACCCTGTAGTGTCAAACAGTTGTTTCTACACTATAGGTTAGGTTAGGAAGAATTCCACCCTTATTATCATCTCTGTAGTTCAGTTCTACTTCTTTGCATATGACAAAATAAACTGAGTGAACTTCATACGTGTAAGTGGGATCTTAATTTTGTTTTTTATGTGTGGAAAAAATAACTTCTTAACTTCCAGCTGCAGAGCGGTAGAGCCTATTAGTTCTTTATGCAGCACCGCATGGTTTTACACCCCGGTCGTGAGACAAATTCCTGATTTTCTCCTCAAAACAAACATCTCTATCACACTACTGTGTAATGTGTATGCAATGTCTCGTTCCCCTTTTACATTTACGTGTTTCTGCGGTACTTGGCACCACTTTCTCTTTTTTGTTTGGTCTCTTTGTATAAAAGGTCATACAGGAGCAACGAAGGTCACTATACAAGGTGAACTTGTTGTCATTATAACCCATCAATGAATGCTCATGGGTTCCTTTTTTTCCTCTTTTTTTTTAAAGCCCCCTCTGTAATTGTAAGCACATGCTAAATTTTAGTAGTTTACTTTTCTACACAATCATGGTATAAAAGAAATTCATATTTGAAAATAATGATAAATTCATATTTGGTCCAACTAGCATAATCCTCTCAATTGGGCCTTACCATTAATAAAGCTATTAAAAGGAACATTAAAGGAAGTTTGTACCGGATCTATACAATCAATAAGTGGTGACTGACAGTGCTCTCTCAAAAAAATAAAATAAAAGATCATATAATATATTTTCTTATATTAAATGTTGCATGTTATTAATAACTTCTTGTTACTATGAAAACCAAAAGACATGGCTGACTATTAATTATATAAAAAAAGAAAAAAGCTATCATTAGTTCACAGCGGGGCTCTGGGCATGTAGTAGTGCTCCACGTGATCCATGAGTAAAAGCTCCACCTTTCGGATAAACCAGAGGCAGCATCTGCGCGGCTGCTGCCTGCGGGACAGACGGACAGGACGGCATGCGGGAGTGAGCTGTGCCGCTGCGGGCTTTCAGGATTTTTTTCTTTTTTACTCCTTTTTCGACTATGATTTTTGCTTTCCGGCTCCCTGAGGTTGACGAAGGGCTCAGTCTGAGAGAAAGAGGCACATTAACAGGTCCTCGCGCGGTGCGTTCGCTGTCTTCCCGGTAGTATGAGGCTCTGATGAGACCGGAGAGGACAGGATGCCCGCCAGCGGCGCAGACTCCCTGAAGCCCAGCGCCTTCATCCCGGTATGCACGGCCGCCGTCCTCCTGGTCGGCTCCACCTCCCTGTTCTTCGTCTTCACGTAAGTGCGACCCTACAAATGAAAAGTTGGAGACATGCATTGTTGGTTTGCGCAACAGAAAAAAATCATCCATCCATCCTGACACCCATCGCTGTTCATCCACCATGCATCAGGTACTCTTTCATTTAACGATGTCATTATTTGCATGTGGAAGTGGATTTTGATTATAACTTGTTGGTAATTCTCTTCTTTTCATGGTTGTAAGCGGAATATTGAACAGTATTTGACCCATTATTTTTGATTTAGTTAATTCTCAATAACCAGAAAGCTGCTATAGTAACTAGCATAATAACCATTTAACTATAATTGTTCAAAACAACCATTTCTTCCTCACTGACTTCACCCTGCTGGCAGAAGGTATATCTGACCTTGTTGGCTCTCAATGTGGGCTATCCTGGGTGCCTGCCCAGTGCACCCTGAGGACTCGGAGTAAGCACAGTTCAGGGGATAAGCCACCCACAATCAACATGTATCAAAGTGTCAATATGACCCACATGGGTAATATACATATAGCTGAAATAAATCAATACTCTCTGGTGTGTGTCAAGATCAGAAAAGCTGATTTTAAATCTCCGTTTCAATACAACATGGTGATGAGGTGGTGAAATGGATAATTTTAGCCTCCTGTTTCTGACCTATTTGAGAGGAACTAGTGGGAGGCTGCACTAAAGCCAGCCAATGCTGGCATGCTGAAAACAATGAAACACAATATCCCATAATACCCTCGAATCCAATTTAAATGAGGCCTATAGGTTAGTCAGCTTTATCAATATTTCAAAGGCTTTACTTGTGTACATTCAGAAGCTAAAAAAACAGACCACTGTCACATTTGGCAGTACCCTACTTTGGAAATGAAAACCCCTCTGACATGATATGACTTACTGAAAAGGCTCCCACCTCATCAGCTCTATGCTAGTCAACTGACCTTTGACCTCTGTAGCCATATCTGTCCTACTTTCTCCATGTTCTCCAGCAGTGCACCGTTTCAACTGGAAATCTGACACCAGATTGGGATTAGGGTCCTCTTTTCATTGCCATATGATCCCCCATCTGGAAAAAAAGGAGGCTGGGGGTCATTGAATTCACTATGCAGATGTTTACTCTTCCCTCTTTGGAAGGAATTTCAGGAAGTAGTTTTAATCTTTTTTTCAGAAAGCTCCATTATCGTTCTCATATCTACCTTTGCCTTTCTTTATATATACCTTTTTTTTAAATATATATATAACTATAGATAACGTCAGGAATATAAGCCCTTGTTTGCTGGAGATCCTGCTGGAAAAAAACTAATATTGAACAGAAATTGAGTTTAATTTTTAAACATATCATGTGAGAAGTATATAAAACACTTTCTTTACTTTAGGGTAGGGCTGGGCAATAATTCAATAAGATCATTTATCATCTTTAATAAAATCATGTTGTGATAAAACCACACTCAGAGATATTGTGATACAAAATGAGGCTGTCTAAACTAATAATAACAAGCACATACTCGCTCAAATTTCTCCGGAAGTCTCAAATCTAATGCAAAGTTAAATCCAACTATTGTCTTGACCTTATTATATTTGAGTAATATTAGAAATTACTTAAAGGGATTTGGAATTGTCTTAATCCATTTGGAGCGCTCTCCATGTTCTAATACACAGATATTCACAGCAGCTAATTGCTTGGGTCATGACGCCTTCGGGTGGCAGGCTCACAGGCCAGAAAAGGTGGAGAAACCCGGATGAACCCACTCATTCTCAGCGAGAGAAACAGAAATCAATGACCTGCTGACGTGATGGATTGAGATGAGACTTCTTAATTGGGACTGGACTGCTTAACCAGCAAAACCAGGACACTGCAAGTGATTGAAAGAACAAGTGATGAATCTGCTGCTTCTTATGGGACACGGGCTGCAATCTAGCGCGACTGACCTTATAACCTGGAAATCTTTATAATTAACTGAGTGATTAAAATAGAGCTCCTGGCTTAAAATAGTGAGTGTGTGCACGTTCCTATTGTGATATATCAACCTTAAGGGAGAGTCATTTTTCCTTTATTCAAGAAAATCTACAGGTTCATCAAACATTATACACAAACAAGAAATGTACTTCAGGGGTAGGACACATAGGTACATATAAAGAGTAAAAGAATATATACAAAAATATTTAAAAAATAGTGATAAAAACAAAAGGTAATATTTCAAGTTAAATATTTATCAAATACACATTTGGTTTCATTGCATTCTTTTTTAGTAGTGGTGCCATATTGTTGTAATTCTAGGAAAATTGGGCAACATTTGGTTTAGAGTCAGTCAATTTCTTCGTAATAGAATGTGTTGTATAAAAATAACAATATTTGTATCACACCCATCATCTCTAAAGTCTATAACAATGTTCTCATCCTGAATTTGTCTCGTTTGTCCCGTTTATATTTTTAGAAAATACTCAACATCAGACCAAAACATTTGTACACGTATAATCTGACCAATAAGCAGTGTGATATCCTGTGAGTGTGCCCAGTAAGCAGCTGCAGACTCCTCTCCTCCAGAAGATGGACAGGTGCCACGCTCTGTCAACCTCGTCTCTGTAACACTGAGTCAAAGGGACACCGCTTGTCACCCGTCAAAACGTCACCTTGTTTTTACCCCTGGTTGCTGTGAATCATGGGAACACTCATGAAAATCATCCAGCCTTGAGTCCTTTTCTTTGTCACCTGATGCATCCTTTTACCCATAATTTTAATCATAAACCCTGCAGTCAAATAACGTCTTAGTCCTTTCATCTTATCATCCAATATTCATGCAGTGTGTGTGTGTGTATATGCGAGGGTGCATGCTTCCATTTCTGTTTCCACTGCCGGTTTGGTACAGTTACAAAACAACCTTTAAAAAGGCTCTTTTGTTTTCCTAAAATTCATCATCATTTCCTGCTTTTGGTCCTTTGACCGTGAACTGTTGTTGGGGTTAGTGCTCAAGGTTTTGTGCATTGTTAAACTCTGGTTCGCCTACGCCCAACAAAGACCACTGACATCAGAACGACCAGAAAAATGTCCCTTGTTAATTAGGTTGTGTTTTGCTCTCGTTCAGAACATTTATTTAGAATACAGAAATAATGTCGAAACTAGAATAGCTACACTTGTGCTGAAACGCTGCAGACAGGAATGTTGTTCTCTGGATGTGACATGTTGAAGGGGAGCTGCAGGTTAAGTTGATAAACCCCTGAGTTCATTGAATTGAGCACGACTGTTTTTATTATCTCCGTCAGGAATAAGCCTGGTGGGAGATCATGCATTTAGTTGTGTGTGTGTGTGTGTGTGTGTGTGTGTGTGTGTGTGTGTGTGTGTGTGTGTGTGTGTGTGTGTGTGTGTGTGTGTGTGTGTGTGTGTGTGTGTGTGTGTGTGTGTGTGTGTGTGTGTGTGTGTGTGTGTGTGTGTGTGTGTGTGTGTGTGTGTGTGCATCTGTCTGCC